GCTTCGATATGTTTCGCTTCGTTTGTGACTTGGTGTTTCGACACGACAGAGGCGCTTAAATCACTTGTTTCCAACACCCATCGCCAAACTTGCACCCAACCTCGCTCGTCCGAGGTTCCCTCCTAGCTAGGCTAGCCCTACATTAGTCTGTGCATTCATTGTATTCTCAGTTCATTCAGTCACAGCCTCGTTATTCGTTTACCTGCGCACTCTCTTTTACAACTCATAACATAACCGACCATGCAACAAGTGGGATCGTGCATGGTTTTCAGGCAAAAACAGCTGCGGTTCAATGTCCCATCGCACAATGTTGTCTAGAAATGTGACAGCAGTGATGGGCATGTTGCAGTGCGGCCCAATCACAGCCGCATGCGCTGCGTGCCATGTGCATTTATTCCGAACCCTCTCGAAGGGTGGGGAAATTTCCCTGCCAGCGCAACGTATATGCTGCCACGCAGGTTCCTTTATGGGGGTAGGCGGGGTCTTCCCGCCTGTCATTGACGAGGACCCTGAGCCGCCAACCATACGGGGTCCCGGTCGTTGCCCATTTGTGTACCCTCCTTTTCATTTTTTTTCATTCAGTTTCCTGTCTAGCCCGCCTGGCTGGCGAAGCCATGGCGGAATTCAGTGGGACGCACTTCCTCTTCAAGAAGAAACCACCTCGCCCGTGGCGACTTACCGCAGACGGGTGGTATACCCGTGAGCCACCAACGCCTCCAGAGCCACCTGCACCGCCTACTCCGCCTGCTCCTCCCGCACCTCCTGCTCCTCCCACTCTTCCGCATCCTCCTGTTTCTGATGCGGGCACTTCTCATCAACGGCCCGTGCTCCAGCTGTATTTACCAGCCACTTTCGACGAGTGGCTGTCTGAACCGGACACACCCAATGCCCCCGAGGTGTTCATCTATGCTCCGCCGCCTGCACCACGGTGGGGAAATCCTGTAGCTTGCATGTGGGACAAGACGGCTGTGGGCGCCGACGATGACGTTGGCGCCGATAAACATAACACCGGCGACGGCGACGGCGGAGGCGACAGTGGAGGCGACAGTGGAGGTGACGGTGAAGAGGGCGCCGAGGAGGACGTGTTCCCAGATCGTAATGCAACTGACGCGGACGATGACGGTGTGGAATCTTGGTGGCACGACGCACCACGCGAGAAAATGCCGATACCAACGTATCCGTCGATTAACAAAAAATGACCCCACCCCTCCTATGAGAACCGAGATGCCCGCCCCCCCCCCCCCTCTCCGAGGCACTAGCCGACTCAGCATAAACGGCAACGCTACACCGCCCGAGAATCTAAAGTGGCTCGTTCGGCTGGAGCTTGCGGCATCGATAAGCGAGGTCATGAGGGAGTCTAGCATACGTCGCAAATGCCTGTCGGAGTGGAAAACCCAAGCGGAGCAGCTCAAGGCTGCACACAGCACACGGTGTCGGCTTCATGGGCGTGGAAGGTCTTCCTGGTACAGACCCATGGAGTTGAAGGTGTACACCCAACTCCTCGACTCGCGACGCCGTGGTGTGGCAGTATCAGTCTGTCGGCTGCAAGACTGGTCACGCGAGGTGATGAAGAAATGGACCTTGAGCGTCCAGGACCAGACGGCCTTCTTCGCTTGCGCGCCGTCCCAACCGCTTCAACTTTAACCCCTGGAGATACCGGACCTACAACAATGGAACAAGAAGCACACAGTGAGGAGTCAGTAACTCCAGGGCAAGCTAACACTCGAGGCTGGGGAATTGCGAAAACAGCTGCTCCCATCTGGACTAACGCCGGTGTCATCATCGGCGCGTGTAGGGTGCCACAGACACCAGCGGCAGGAGTTTCCCCTGGAGGCGGATGGAGAACGTCAGCTTCTCGAGGCGACTGGGGACCACCAAGTCCTCCTTATCCCAAAGCTCCGACACTTCCTCCTGAAGACGTGGCAGAACGGGATCCATACTGGGCAACACACGGCACCAGTTGGGGTGGACCTCCTCTTCCAGATCAATATCCATATGAACCTGCCGAGAAGGAACGAGAAGAGTCAGAAGGGATGATCTACGACTTTTGAGAAGCAGCGGAGCTACCCAAACCTAGCAAGGAAGCACCACCGCTGGAACAAGGACCCCAACTAATTTCCATCACCGACAACGAATACCTCTATCATCGCATCCCAATGGAAGGACTCCTCACTTCTGAATGGCCAGAAGCAGTGCGACCTCAACAGCTATTTTCGATTACAACCGACTGAATTTACGTTGTCGACACGGACGGCGTCATCGGCATCTCCGGCAATGATTTACGTCAGGCATCAATCCAAGCCTTCGCAACTGACGTCCGAGCCGCCTCCGACAAGGGACCTGAAAATCCGCAACGAGAGGACGAGGAGAGAAAGAAGTATTACAAGAGAACGATCAGTTGCCGCGCAAAACCAGAAATTTGGCACCAGCGGCTCGAACACCCATCACAAGCAACACTCAAGAATTCAATTGATGCCGAATTTTTTTACACAAGCGGACTTTTCTTACCTGGCGGTGAAACACTCAAAAGCAACAACTCCCGACTCGACATGCATTGTCTATCCGACTGCAGCACTCGCTCACAAGCTCTTCCCGGACTTACTCCCAGGGTACGAACGCTACCAACTCGAGAAAGTCTACAACGACTTAAGGATACTTGGCCAGGAAGGACTTGACAGAGAAAACAACGCGATGACCTTCATCAACGCCTGCACACGCTACGTTTGGGCCGTCAACATCGACTATCGCTCGTGAGCCTTCGACTATTTTGTAACCTGTATGAAGCGTGCTGAACGTCAATCAATAAAGCTAAAAAGCTTTCAGACAGAGGGGGGGGGCTGGAGTACTTCTCAACTGAGTTCAAGGAACTCTTCGCCACGAAGGGAATTAAACACATGGTGTCCCTGCCCTGCGAATACGAACATCAAGGAGAAGCAAAATGGACAAACAGGAGCTTCGCCACAAGGATGAGAGTCCTTATGAAGCAGTCTATTATCCCAACACAGTATTGGATGTTCGGGTGCACAACTTGCTCTCGCCCCGAAGCCTCAAGAACAACACGTCACCTTACAAGGCTTGGACAGGCAAAAAAGCTGACACACGTTAGCTTCGATGTTGGGCTGCATGGTACAGTACAGACCCCATACGGCAAGAACCGGAAAATTTGCTGACTGGGCACGCTAGGGCATTTACCACGGGGTCGAAAAAAGAGTTAAAAGAGTGGATCGTGCTGGACTACGCGACATATGAAGCGAGGAAATCTCCTGCATCTTCTACGAGATGCTGACTCCGCCACTGTTCATGGGACACTGCGAAACTGACAAGGCACCGGAAAGAGTTTTCAAGGGGCACCGCAGCTTTGCCATATCACAAGATGAGGTTGACGTGTCAGAGGATGCAGACGCAACGGACGTCACACCATTCGATTCTTTTCCCAACATCTCCCTTACAAGCCCATTTCAGGCTCTAACCTTCATACATGTTTCATAATGTGATTATCACGATACAGTGAAACCCACAACCACAGTAGTACAGCGCACCAATCTCCGTATGCCAAGTTACCACCTCCAAACCCCTCGCAAGACACCATCCGCAATAGCCACGACAGCGACGACAACGTTATCGAAGTTACCAGCATGCACGACCACGATCGCATCGCCTTCGAAGAACCAACAAAACCGGCCTCCGCATCCTTGGGCTCGCAGTAGTTTGCCACAACTCACCCAAGGAACCTACCACCGTGCGCCAGGCCCTATCTGGGGCCGATAGTGAGAAGTGGAAAGCAGCCATGGCGGCTGAAGCAGCAGCACTGAAGCGGCACGGGACCTGAAAGCTTTTTCTTTGATCATCTGCTAAGGGGAGAAATAATATTTAAACGAAAAGTGGGTCTTCAGAATCAAGATGCTCGCGGATGGGACGACGACAAGTATAAAGCGAAATAGGTAGTGCGTGGCTTCGAGCAAACTCATATGGTGGACTACGATCAAACCTTCGCGCCCGTCGGACGGCACACCTCGGTGCGCATCTTTATCTGGATCGCAGCCATAAAAAAGCGACCGATTCGACGGCGCCGAGTCACAAATACGCTTGTGACACTTTCTTTTGGGAGATGTCTTGTTCTGAAAGTACCCTCAATATCCTTAGAATGTGGAACCAAGAACAGAAGTAGGATAGTGAGGGAACCTACAAAGGTGCTTCGTCAGCGGGTTACTATCGCGACAAACGGCAGTCAAAACCCTCAACCGAAGCCACACCCAGCGCGGACTGTATTGCTAGGGGGGGTGGCTTGTCGGTTGCGCGGGTAAAGTTTCGGCGTTCTGTCGCTGAGCGTACGGCATGGACGGTGCTCGTCGCTTGTGCGCTGGCTCATGTTGCGCCCTTGTACTCTAGTGCTCCGCTACCGATGGATACCGCGTTTCGTCGTTTCGTTTTTCGTCGCAACACACTTCTCTCTCGTCGACAATCGTGCAGGGGCTTTCGAGGAGGTTCGCAGCACTGGTTTGACATGCCAACTGAGTTTTTTCGCCCGTCCTTCACCCCCTCCAGCACCGAATTGCAAATACAGCAGATAGAACTTTCGTTCGCTAGAATAGAACTAGTTTAATCTCGCCGTCACAACAGCCACACAGCCACCTTTTGCCATCACTCATCACACCCTCCCACGGCAGCGGCCCAGAACCCCGAAGCTCCTTCCGAGTGTCCCTACTTTCCGCGATCGCTGTGGACCCTCTTAGCTCCATGGCATTAGGCGATGCGGTCGTAGCGAAGACTGGATCCTGAATTGAATGAGAAGCGTTTAGAGTAATAGTGGTGCCAATTGATTGGCGAACTAGACAGCTGTCGCGTTTGAAGCGGCCCACGGACTTGTTTCATATTTCATTGATTTCACGCCCGCTGCCTAGACGGTTTGACATAGCGTAGTCTCGCACTCGTAGTTGCCGTTGCGGACAGTTGCATTCAAGACGTCTCAAAACTCACCGCGATCGCACGAAAGTCCACTGATGGGCTCGTGCGCAGCTGGGGCATGCGTCTCCCCCCTAGACGCAATAACAACCCACAGGCACCTTCACACCCGCGCGCACACCGCGGAAGCCCTCGCTACAGTCACAGCGTTTCATGACGCAGCAATGGGTGGTAATAATCAACAGGCAAACCAGAGCTCACTCGTAACCGATATTTGCGATTCTGGATCACTCGATACAGGCGTGCTTTCAGCGCAGGACGCAAGCGCGTGGGGCTCTGCATCATGGCTCCAGCCAGCAGGGACAGCGGTAGCAGCAGCAGCCTTCTACGGGCTTGGCGATCATTCTCGCAGCTTCGCCGGCGCTGCGTCCGCGTCGATGGCCCAAGCGCGAGTCTCTCCGTCGGGAGCGCACTTGTCGTATTCCACGCCGCCCAGCCCACTCTCTCTGGACGCGACGGAGCTGACGGCGGACCTGGGCGCGATGGGCGGAGACGAGGAGATGGCGGAAGAGGGGAGCTATGAGGGCGGAGGTGGGCTAGAATGGCGGCGAGTGGTGGCGATGCTGATGTCGGACACGAAGCACGCGATGAACACTGTGGATAGCGTCATGGGCGGGCAGGACGAGCAGCAGCAGCAGCAGCAGCAACAGCAGCAACAACAACATCACGACGAGATGCGAAACCAGCAGCTGTCGTACCAGCATGTTGGTACGCATCAAGAACAGACACATTATTATCAGCCTGATCACACTTTACACGACGATCACGAGAAGCAGCATCCAGGGCAGCGGCTCGGGAATGACACGGCGCAGTGTCACCATCGCAACTGGCAGGCGACCCCATCCGCGTCATCGCCGCTCAAACTCGTTATACCCATCCCGTGGCACCACGGGGAGACCCGCTCAGCAGCGAATACCACAGCAGCTCACGTCGGCGATGCCATCGCTGGACCAGCCTCCAGCGATGGGCTCACGGTCCACCAATTTCAAAGCCCGTCTCGACAATTTCAAGTTTCTCCAGCGGCAACTCCCGTATTCTCGACTCCTGTCCGCGACGCACCACTGCCTTACGATCCAGTCGAAACTACCAGCGACGGTAAGCCACGCCGAGTCCCGCTTCGACACTGCGAACGGAGCCTCCAGCCGCTCAAGCTGTCGCTGACGGAAGCTCGTCCGCACGATCTGCTTGGCTCAGAGCAGCATGCGCCGGAGGGATGGCGAAGCAAGTCGAGACGGCGCGAGGAACTAACAGTGGGGTCACCTCGTATTCAAATACCGTCGCGTGGCGTGCAGATGGTGTCGCCTGGCGACGGGATCGCATCGCCTTCCGGCCTGACGTCCTCGCCTGGCGTTCGGATGGCGACGTCCCCTGGCCTACAGTCGCCGCCAACAATTCTGCTCGACGACATGAGCGCACGGATTGGGCGAAGCGCATCGAAGCGAAGGCGCGGACATTCTGGTTCTTGGGAGGTACGCCTTTTAGTAACTTGCCCTCTAAGTACCCTCGCGGTTGGCTATGTTGCGAGTCGCGTTTATTCTCGTCTATACGGTATTAAGCTTCTCGTTCTTTCGTGACCCCCCTACCGGACTCCCTCAGGCTCGCGGAAGCAGCGCTTCCCCAGGTGGCAATAGAGCGGTAGTTGCGGAGGAGGAGCGTCCCGCAGTCACTGCGTCGCCCGCCGCTACCGCCACCCCATTCGAGGGGCCTGATTGGCTGCACCACCTGCACTCCGGCAAGCTGCAAACGCTCCCCATCATGGTACGGCGCATCATGGTGGCTAGACAAAACGCGACTTCGTGGTCTAACAAGTTACCATTCGACTGAACACTGTTTACCATCCGTAGTATTTCCTCATCTTGCCCAAGTACTGGTGAGAGTCAATCTGAAATACTCAATTAACAGCATTTGTGTGCGCTCTGCTTCTTATTGTTCTGAGCAGCTACGGATGGAGACGACCAAGGATCGCATTTCGCTGCTACGACAACTCGTAGCACCCGCACTAACGAAGGTAACACAAAAGTGGCATTACAGTATCAGCAGATGAATCAGGTCCTTGCTAGCAAATGCACTGCTCTTGCTTTCCCTAACGCTCCAAATCTGCTCATGTTTTGCAGGGAGACACGGCGACGGTGCTTGGCGAAGTCGAACAGTTTGTGAGGGCCGTCTACGAGAAGCTGAAAGAGATGAGCAACGGTCACGAGCAGCACGCCGCGTTTCCCACCATAGGAAATGCCAAGGTGTGGTGCGCTCCGGCTACTAGCTGGGCGGAAAACGAATTTGGGGTGGATGGGGGTGTTGGCGAGCGCGATGGCGTGGGATTGGCTGCCAAGGGTCTGAGGCTGGTTACTCGTCGAACAGCGGAGAACTTCGTGAACCGAGCGACACATTGTAGAAGGTTGTAACAGATTGAACGGAGTTTGATAACTAGCTGAACGAGAAGCATATTTCTGCTCCTGGTTCAGCTAGTTACCTTATTTCCACTCTCATCATATCCTCCAGCTCTCATATACCTAATTGAATCTGACAGTTGCAAAGTTGGCATTTAGATTAGCATGATTGCATTTGTATTTCTAGAAACTAACACTTCTCAATTTATATGTAACTAGAATGACCCTTTACGATGTTCTGTTCTTCAAATATTCAGTTTGTCTCTTGCAAGTGCACTGCTTGCTTGCTTTATCTGGACCTAGTTGGAATATTACAAAAGTAGTTTATGAACAATGTTCCATTCCATGTACCCTCGTTGTATTCCCGCCTCCATTGCTGTGCTGGCTACGCCACCATCCAAGCTGGCAAGTGATCTTCAACGACGAGTTACCGCCGCTTCAACTTCGCTTCCGTTTCGACAAAATGTCGTGCGAGCTTCGTTTCGTGAATTTGGAAATTTCAACATCGTCCTTCATGATCTTGATGTGGAGTGGGGTGAAACGGGGCGAGATACGTTTTAGTGGGATGATAAGGGATATATTTTAAAGTCCGATCATCCAGCAGGAGGGGAGAACAGGCAGAGCACAGCGCCAGAAACATGTACAAGAAACTGAATCAGCAACAGCACCCATTCTTGACGTGCAGTGTTATCTTTCGTTTGTGCTCCACCATTGCCAGTTCACCTTCGACTAACCCGTTCGAGTAACCCGATCATAATCTCATAATTTAGGTAATTTGATCCTCGTACACTGGACGCGCGCTTGACATGGCTGCGCACTTGAGAGTTGCGACGCTGCTGCTACTGTCCCTCGTGGCTTGCGTTTCGGCATTCGATCTGTCGGTCAGCCCAGCCGACGTGCTCACCGCGGGATTGAAGGTCGGACCCGTCAAGCAAGTCGTAAGTGTCGGAAACACCCGTCGCTCAGAAACGCCTGTCGCTCAGAAACAACCGTCGCTCCCCGCTCTCGGTAGTAATCGACTCGTTTACATTGCTCTGCGTGCATGTACCTGTCAACATGTCTGGAAGGGCCCGTCTTACAACAACCGATACTGCCGTACTATTCCAGGCGAGCGCCTCCTCTCCCTCCCCCCTCCTCCTCCCCTCCTCCTCCCCCTCCTCCTCCCCCTCCTCCTCCCCCTCCTCCCCCCCTCCTCCCCCCCCCTCCTCCCCCCCTCCTCCTCCCTCCTCCTCCCCCTCCTCCTCTCCCTCCTCCTCCCCCTCCTCCTCTCCCTCCTCCTCGTAACGCGCGCAGGAATCCGCGGGGATCGATCTCAGCAGGGTGGTGCGACTATCCGATAAGGAGCCGCGCGCGTTTCTGTATAAGGGCTTCCTGTCGGACGACGAGTGCGACCACATCGTCAACATCGCCACCGCTCGACTCGCCCGGTAACCCCTCCCCTCTTCGCTCTTCGCTTCTCCCGCTTCCCCCTCCACCTTTGCCGCTTCCCCTTTGCCGCTTCCCTTTTCCCGCTTCCCTGTTCCTGCTACCCGCTCCCGCTTCTCCTTCAAGCTTCCCCTTCCCCCTTCCCCCTGTTACGTCGTCCCCTCTCCCCCTCCCTCCCCTCCCCCACCCTGGCACGTCAGCAGTGGCGGTCGGCAACAGCGGGCGGAGCGTGGTGAGAGAGGTGAGGTGCGCGCGGCGACAGGCATGTTCCTCACCAAGAGCCACTATGACGCCTTTCTTTCGTGACGTCTTAACACTTCCCTCCTTCCCCTCCTCCCCTCCTTCCCTCCTTCCGCTCCTTCCCTCCTTCCCCTCCTTCCCTCCTTCCCCTCCTTCCCTCCTTCCCCTCCTTCCCTCCTGTCCCCAACCTCCCTCCCCTTTCTCCATCCCCCTACTCCCTTTCCCCCTTTCCCGCCTTCCCCTCCTCCCCTCCCTTCCCTCCCCCACCCCCCTCCCCCGCAGGTCAGCAGTGGCGGACAGCAGCAGCGGGCGGAGCATGGTGAGCGAGGTGAGGTGCGCACGTCCACAGGCATGCTTCTCACCAAGGGCCACGATGACTCCTTTATCTCGTGACGTCTTAACAATTCCCTCCTTTCCCCGCAGGTCAGCAGTGGCGGACAGCAGCAGTGGGCAGAGTGTGGTGAGCGAGGTGCGCACATCAACGGGCATGTTCCTCACCAAGGGCGAGGATGACGTCATCCGAGCCATAGAGCAGCGCGTCAGCGAGTGGACGTTCCTCCCCGTGGCCAATCAGGAGGCTCTGCAGGTACCGTGGCCAATCAGGAGGCTCTGCAGGTACCGTGGCCAATCAGGAGGCTCTGCAGGTATTGGGCGAGATTGGGGCAAATGCAGATTAGGCTTGGCATGCCACTGCCAGGTGCTGTGACTTGGCATGCCCACCACATGCCCACCACATGCCCACCACATGCCTCAGCTGCTGCCATACAGCACGGGCCACCTGCGCTCCTCACTTCCACCCCCTCCGCTCCAATCCTCCTCGCTCCGCCCTCAACCTGCCCCCAACCTGCCCCACGCTTGTATCACTCTCGAGAATTCTCACAAGTGACACAAGCAGAGTTCTGCCTCCCCACTCCCACCTGCTGCGGCACGGTAGTGCGCCTCAAGTCTCACCTGCGCTTGCGCTGTTCCCTCATGGCTCCCCTCTCCTCGTTACCTCTACCATCCCATCCCACTCTTCACTCCACTCAGCCCATCTCCAGTCCACTCCTAACACTCCACGCCACGCCACGCCACGCCACGCCACGCCACGCCACGCCACGCCACGCCACGCCACGCCACGCCACGCCACGCCACGCCACGCCACGCCACGCCACGCCACGCCACGCCACGCCACGCCACGCCACGCCACGCCACGCCACGCCACGCCACGCCACGCCACGCCACGCCACGCCACGCCACGCCACGCCACGCCACGCCACGCCACGCCACGCCACGCCACAGTCACTCCTCCTCAGCCCTTTTCCTCCGCTGCACTCTGTGCAATCCCTGTCCTGTGCCCCTCAGGCCCTGCACTGCGGCACAGTGGGGAAGCACAATCCGCATCCTCGCCTGGACTACTTACTGTCCCCTCTTCACACGCAGCTGCGTGTGCTGCAGTGAGGCTGTGCGCCCCGCACTCCATTCCACTCCACCACACTCGAACACACTCCAACGCCCTCAGGTCCTGCGCGGTTTGGCATTCAGCAGAAGGATTACCCACACCTGGACTATTTCTCGGACCCTGTGAACACGCAGCTGCGTGTGCTGCAGTGCGGATGTGCGCCATAATTTGTCATGTACCGCACGCACCCCATTCCCCACTCCACCACGCTCCAGTGCACTCAGGTCCTGTGGTACGGACGGCATCGGGCAGAAGTACGGCCCACACCTGGACTATTTCTCCGACCCTGTGCACTCGCAGCTGCACTCGTTGCAGTGTGCCGCTGTGCACCACAAGTCCAACCTGTACCACACTCCATCACCCTCCACCCCACTCCACCGCACTCAGGTCCTGCGGTATGCCATAGGGCAGAAGTACGACGCCCATCTGGACTATTTCTCGGACCCCGTCAACACGCAGCTGGGCGGCCATCGCTACGCCACGCTGCTCATGTACCTCAGCAACGTCACCAAGGGCGGGGAGACCGTGTTCCCGACAGTCAAGGACGACACGCCCAAGGATGACTCGTGGTCTGACTGCGCTAAGGGCGCCTTAGCTGGTCAGTGCTGGGGTTGGTCGGTAGTGCCTTAGTGCTTCTGAGACCAATGGGCATGCTGCTGGGCGGCCACCGCTACGCCACGGTGCTCATGTACCGCAGCAATGGCACCAAGGGTTAAGGATGAGACGGTTGAAGACGACTCGTGGCCCGACTGCGCCAAGCCAAGGGTTCCTTAGCTGCTGGGTGCTGGGGTTGACGGTGCTGAAAGTGCCGCTTTGTTTGTGAGTTGGTGGGGTTGATGGGATGAGCGCGCAGCTGGGTAGCCACTGCCACGCCACGCTGCTCGTGTACCGCAGCAATGTCACCAAGGGAGGGGAGACGGTGTTTCCCACGGTGAGAGCGATTCGTGGTCCGACTGGGCCAAAGGCTCCATAGCTGGTGGGTGCTGGGTTGCTGGGGCTGCTGGGGCCGCTGGGGCTGCTGGGGCTGGGTGATGCTTTGTGCAATTGATGGGCAGCAACGCTCAACGATGACACGCCCAAGGATGACTCGTGGTCTCACTGTTCCGAGGGCTTCTTTTCTTGTCAGTGCTGGGGCTGGTAAGGGTGGGGCTGCTGGGGATGGCTTTTGAGCAGACTCAGAAATCGACCACGATTCGACTAAACAACCACGTGCTGCCTTGCTGGTCAGTGCTGGGAATGGTGGGGGTCGGGGTGGTGAGGCTGGATTGCCAGAGGGTGAGCAACGGATTAAAAAACAGGAGCTTTTCAACTGTTTCGCATATATCATTACAACACTGACAAATACGTGGATTGCCAGAGGTGAAGGCAGTGGGGGTGGGGGTGGTGGTGAGGCTGGATTGACAGATTGTGGTCGGACGGACTTGCAGATGGCGAGAACAAGGAGCAGAGGGAATGGAGAGGAAGCACAAGTGAACGCAGGTGAGGGAGAGGGAGGTGACGAGGGTGGCGAACTCCAATCGTCCTTCCCCGTTCCCCATCCCCAACTCTCCCCCGCTGCCTTGCCCTTCCCACCTCTCAACCTTCTCTCCCTCCCCAGTCCATCCTCCCTGCCCCTCCGTCCCATTCCTTCCGCCACACACCTTCCCTCCCCCCACCCTTTTCCTTGCGCACCCGTCTCCCCCCTCCCCACCAGTGAAGCCCATCAAGGGCGACGCGCTGCTCTTCTTCAACATGCATCCAGACGGCTCGCCTGACCCCTCCTCGCTGCACCACGCGTGCCCCGTGGTGGACGGAATCAAGTGGTCGGCACCCAAGTGGATCCGCATGGGGGATGTTACCGTGCTGCTGGGTGATGCTGTTACTGCCGCCTGCCAGGACAGCAATGCATAGTGAGTGCCACGGAGCCTTGGTTGTGTGAGTAGCAGTTTTTCGCGTGCCACTGAGTGCTGCTGTCGCTCGCTGCACCACACGTGCCCCGTGTTGGAGGGAATTAAGTGGTCAGCACACCCAAGTGGATCTGCGTAGGCGATGTCTCTGCGCCTCTGGGTGATGCTGTGTTGCTGCTGCCTGCCAGGACAGCAACGCGTAGTGAGTGATGGTTGGTTGTGTGGGTGGCGAATGTGAGGGATGGAGGGGCGTTAGAATGGATGCAGATGGGCAACGTTGTGGTGCTGCTGGGTGCTGCCACCTTGCCTGCCTGCCAGGACAAGCATGCGCACTGAATGGAGTGCAGGGCATCAATGTATTTGAGGGCTACGTGAGTCAGTGGGGCCTGGCAGGATGAGACACAGTAACCTCCATAACGAGCACAGAGGTGTGTCTCTAGGTGCTGCTTGCCCCGGCTTTTGCCTGCCCAAACGTCTGACTGAACCTCGTTTGCCTCCTCTACCTATCTTCCCTGTTCAGAACTTGACGTTTTTTGCCACACACTCTGCTCCCCCCGCCCCCACCTCCCCCTCTGTGCAGCTGTGAGGCGTGGGCCAGGGAGGGCCACTGCACATCGGAGCAGTACAAGGGGTATATGGTGGGAACCCCGGGGTCACCCGGGGCTTGCCGCAAGGCCTGCAATGCCTGTCACTTGTAGGGTGTGTGTCCTGTTGCATGGTCGCCAGTGTGGGCTTAGACGCCGAACCCTGATTCATGCTGGTGCTGTAAGGTTTTGGTTGTAAATGAAGCAGTAAACCAACATTGAAACATTGAGCAACGTTCAAAAACAACCAACGAGAATACTCGCCCCGGTACCGTATCCACAATCTCATTTGCTTTACCAGATTAGGACGCGGTTCAAGTGAGAAGATCGCTGGCTCGCGCTGCAAAATCGAACCTCGAAACCGATTTGGCGGATCGATTGGCGAAACGTGGCGATCGCGATGTTGTAACGATCGCCACTGAAAATTGACAGATCTCCCGCGATCAGTGATCAGTCGCTTTCACGCTCTGTACAGAAATTTTGGCCAAAAAACGCACTGTAGCAGGGTAACAGATCTGCACATCGATCGTAACTGACGATCGATGATCTACTTTTACCGCGTCCTTAGTGAAGATCCCGTTTCAATTTTGATTTGGTAGGGGCCGCGCGAACGCGAGCCCCCGCTGCCACAAATAATGACGTGCATCACCGGGAGTTCCGGCGTGCTAGGAGTAGGGCCCGCCGAAGTGCAATGGCGGGCCCACCCCTAGGCCATCGGCCTTCTTGATCACCGATAGACCCCGCCCAGGTAAGTATGCCTCTTACAAGTTCAGATTGAGTTTATGTTCCCATTGGATTGACGCGTGCTGTAATGGGTTATGGGCTTATGTTGCCACGTGTCCTTCTATCGTGGTTGGGTTGGCAGCTGGCTTTCAATCGCCCACCCAAAAGACGCAGGTTCGACTCTTCGAGATGTGAATTTCGCCTTTCCATGTACTGTAGAGCAGGGCAAGCACTACACCAAAACATTGGTTTGACTGCCTATCATGCCTGGCTATTCTGAACTTTCGCCGTTGCGCTAGACTCGACGGATAAGAACATGGCGATCGCTTGTCGCTGGTACTGTCGCAGACGCGTCGATGAAGTAGATTCGAGAGGCATACAGTTTTCCCTAATACAATGTCGCCGTGGACTCCGTCAGCGCCGTTCGCAACTCCGTCGCTCTGTCCCAAGCCCGCTTCGCAGAGGGTAGCGTCGCAGAGGGTAGCGTTCAGAAGGTAGCAAGGTAGCGTCGCAGAAGGTAGCGTCGCAGAAGGTAGCGTCGCAGAAGGTAGCGTAGCAGAAGGTAATCGAATGACCACCAATGCCATGTCTCGTCGTCATGCGGTCCGAACGGGAACTGAGGCGCGACTCGGCTTCTCGGCTGCAGTGCAAGTCGAGCCGAGAATCCGGCTCCCTCCGTCCGGCTCTGTCGGTCCGAATCTCCGTCCGCGACACTGTGGTTCTATGGCAGCGCATACGGAATACGAGCCTACAATCTAAAAACTCGCAACTCGAAACCTAATGGCCCCGTGGCGTTTTGCTGGCCGTTGGATGCGTTGCGTTAAGGTTGATAGATCCGACACGTGCGCCAAGCGCCTCAAAAGCCGACGTTCTTCGCTGCCCTTCCCCAGCATGCATGCGCGTGTGAGGTGCAAGCAGTAGTGTGTACCGTCTAAGCTGTGCGATGGCGTGTGAGGAGGAAGCTCACAGTGAAGCGAGGTAGATGAGAATCAACATCGCGACGCACGGGAGAGGAGCGCACACAAGCGTTTGCGTCCCTCGTTTTCACCGAACGCCGTTCAAACGCTGTCCGATTCTCGTCCCAACCCCTCTCAAACGGTCCCAACCCCTCTCTGCCTCTGCCGATCACGTGGTCCCCGCTCACTTACCGCATCTCCTCCCATCCCATCAGCGTCCCTGCTGTCGTGCCCAGTGCCCAACACGTGGGGTTCTGAAGCGTGAGGATCGTATGCCTGGATGCGCGTGCGCTTGCATGCTCTCGAGGCGCCTCAAAAGCCGAGACGATTGCCCGCGCGTGCGCGATGAATGCTTGGTCGGCCTTGGGTTCATGCACGCACGCGGCATCACGGCAAAGCAGCAAGACGCCCTTGCTGAGGACCAACGAGTATGGGGACGAGAGGAGGTGGAGAGGGATCGTGCAGGGAAGCGAGTGAAGGGACTTCAAGGGATAGAGGGGAAGGAGGGGGATGGGGGGAATTAGGGGGGTTCGGGGGAGGGTGGAAAGGGGTTGCAGAAGGGAGGGAGCAAGCCTCACGAGGATGTATCTACCCTTGCGGTATCTCTGTCTATCTAGTGCCATTGTGGGACCGCGTGTGCCAATCTGATTCTTATGGGTCAACCGTGTGGTGCAACGACAAGAGGTGCTCCCACTCGCTCCCTTGCCGCACTCGCCTGGTAGGGTGGGCGGGTGAGAGCAGGGAGGGCGGGTTTAACTGAGAGTGCTGCCCTTTCCACATCTGCTCACACCTCTGCCTCACCACCATCTCGCCCACCCGGTGAGGCAGAGGCGGCAGCAGTGGCAGCGAGCGTGTGTGACACCTGCCTCGCCCACCCCTCAGCCGTCTCAAAAGGCGGCTGTGGCTGGCGGCACGGCCCAGGCACCTGCCACGGCCCAGGCACCTGCCACGGCCCAGGCACCTGCCACGGCCCAGGCACCTGCCTGCCACAGCCGTCCCAAATGCCGTCCCAAGCGCCCCTCATCCCTGTGTGTCTGCTCCCCCTCTCGCACATCCGGCTGCCCATGAGTCCTCTCACTCCCCGTCCCCCAGCTTCCCTCTCACTTATGGAGGGATGAGTGTTGTGAGAGCCCGTCTCAATATGAATCTTCCCTTGCACTTCTCATTCTGCATGACTGTGCTCACTTCCCCTGCCCACCTTCCGTTTCAGCCTCCGTTGGAGCGTGTCATAGGAGGTCACCTTATTTCGGTGGAATGAGGTGTTGTGCAGGTCAGAGCGGCTTGTTTAGAGTTCTTCGCGTTTGGGTAGGCTTTTGAGCCGTATGACACGCCCTTATGCAGCTCACACATTACCCTGCTTTCGCCACATGCCCTCCTCCATCTCCCTCCATCTCCCTCCATCTCCCTCCATCTCCCTCCATCTCCCTCCATCTCCCTCCATCTCCCTCCATCTCCCTCCATCTCCCTCCATCTCCCTCCATCTCCCTCCATCTCCCTCCATCTCCCTCCATCTCCCTCCATCTCCCTCCATCTCCCTCCATCTCCCTCCATCTCCCTCCATCTCCCTCCATCTCCCTCCATCTCCCTCCATCTCCCTCCATCTCCCTCCATCTCCCTCCTTCTCCCTCCTTCTCCCTCCTTCTCCCTCCTTCTCCCTCCTTCTCCCTCCTTCTCCCTCCTTCTCCCTCCTTCTCCCTCCTTCTCCCTCCTTCTCCCTCCTTCTCCCTCCTCCCATACCTCACAAACTCTCTTCAATGCTGAAATGACTGCACACACTGCTGTGCGTTGGGTCGTGCATACACTCTCTGGGGCAGGTGGATGTGACCAGGTGCTCGTGGCTTGAGTGGGTGCCGCCATTTCTGTGATGTGAAGGGCTAGGCCATGTGTGAAGGCAAGCATTGCGGTCTAAGCCGTAGCTCAATCTCGTGATTGGTAAATTCTACTCAAAAGCCACAATAAAATATCATCTTTAAGGAATAATTCGTTAAGCTAATGCGCCGTCCTACAACCACCTGTGCTACAAGCCTACCACAAGTCCCCTATCCCCTTGACGCGGTGAGCATCAACCAGAGAGGCCACACCAAAAGTGTCTCAGGCAGGCCCGGGCAGTGAGGGAGAGAGCAGGCACGGCCTTTACACAGCACATGCACATGCGCCAGTTGAGGGGCCGCCCCCTTCACACCAGCGCTCCTATACAAGCTTCATTGCAATCACATGCACACCCACCAGTGCCTTGCGCACGCACCAGGTGAGGGCCCACCCCTTTCTCCCATGCCCGATGCTGCCCAGCCCATACCACGGCCTCTGCTCACCCCCTCTCTACAATCTCATGCCCCTCAGTTCAAGCAAGCGGCAGCTGCGGCCAACCCTTTCCCCCATGGCTGGCAGTGCCTACATGACATGAGAGGGGGCTTCACCTCACCCCCTCACCACACTCACATGGGCCACGAGACGCAACCCCTGGTGCAATCAAGGGGGGCCGGCCCCATCCTCCCCTGGTTTGGCGCGCCCTACAGCTGCTCAGCTCATCCCCTCACTACAATCACATCTGCCACGAAGCGCAGCCCCCTGGTGCCATTGACACAGTAGGAGTCGACCAGAAACGCCACGTCCACCACCGCCCCTGCTGGTAGCGCTGCCGCCACCATGTACGGGTCCACGGGCAGGTGCAGCTGGTGGGGGTCCACAGTGTGCAGCTGCTGCGATGCAGGTGACTGCTGGCTGCTGTCGTTGCTGGTGGCGCCTGTGGGAGAGCTGGTGCTGACAATGGCTGGGTTGAGAGCGGTTGTGTGCGGTGCCACACATGAGAAGACCTTGGTGCGCCACTCTGCATTCCCCCTCACACCGTCAGCTGCCAGCCTGGCAATGAGCGGTGGGGGGTGGCGGTGGACAAGCGAGGAAGGAAGGGAGGACGTGCAAGGGAGGGTTGAGAGGAAGTTCACGGGGAGGAGGGAAGGGGAGTGAGGGAGGAGGTGAAGGAGGGGGATGAGAGGAGATCCAGAGGTGAGAGGAGATCCAGAGGTGAGAGGAGATCCAGAGGTGAGAGGAGATCCAGAGGTGAGAGTGCGAAAGGGGAAGCGAGATGGTGTGAGCGACGACAAGTAGTGTGAGGAAGCCATCACTCAAGCGCCACACAGAACCCTGAGAGCAGCACTCCAACTCCTTTCTCACCAGTCACAATATACCTCCCACCCCACCACACCCCCACCCCACCAACCCCCACGCTCCCAAACCCCACCCCACCACTCCCCTGAGACGACGACTTCCTCACCTTCCCCTTTTTCCAGATTGACCGGGGAATCAAAGGCCATACAGCGCACATGGCACGCAGTCACATGGAGCCCACCAACCTACACATAATCTATTCCAGTAACCAATAACCAGTAACCAATAACCAGCAACCAATAACCAGCAACCAATAACCAGCAACCAATAACCAGCAACCAATAACCAGCAACCAATAACCAGCAACCAATAACCAGTAACCAATAACCAGTAACCAATAACCAGTAACCAATAACCAGTAACCAATAACCAGTAACCAATAACCAGCAACCAATAACCAGCAACCAATAACCAGCAACCAATAACCAGCAACCAATAACCAGCAACCAATAACCAGCAACCAATAACCAGCAACCAATAACCAGCAACCAATAACCAGTAACCAATAACCAGTAACCAATAACCAGTAACCAATAACCAGTAACCAATAACCAGTAACCAATAACCAGTAACCAATAACCAGTAACCAATAACCAGTAACCAATAACCAGTAACCAATAACCAGTAACCAATAAACAGTAAGCAGTAACCAGAAACCAGTAACCAGTAACCAGTAACTGTACAGCAACTCTCGCATTCGCCTGGCATTCGACTCACTTGACGCGGATCACTCTCTTGCCATCCTCCTCCTCCCATGCCGCCACAAAGGGCGATCGCACCTCCTCGCTGCGCTCACCGCTCCTCTCCCCTTCCCCGCCACCCTCCGCCCCTGCTGCTGCTGCCTCCTTGCTACTCCCCCCACTGCTGCTGCCACTCCCCACGCACGCCAGCAGAGCATCGAAGCAGGCAGTGATGGCGGCAGCAGCGGCAGGCGAGACGGCGAGGAGCAGCGAGAAGGACGGGCGGCCCGTGGCCTCGTCAAAGGCGAAGCGATCCGACACACTGGTGAGGAGGACGTATGAGAGGGGTTGAGACGGGAGGAGGGGGCGTGAGGGGTGAAGGACGACCGGCCTGTTGCCTTATCAAAGGCAAAGCGGTCCGACACACTGGTAGGGAGAGGGGGAGGAGAGCGAAGGGGAGAAAGCTGGAGAGAGGAGGCGAGGGGAGGGGATTTGTGCATTAGGGAGGACAAGAGATGAGGATGCGGAAGATTAAGAAGACTAGAGTTGACTCGAGGCACCGCTACAAGTCCAGAATGGGGTACGGAAATGAAAGAAGAGGAAAAGCAGGTTACGGTGAATGTAGGAAAAGGCAAAGGAAGAGCAAAGCTGTACAATCATATGCATCCATTAGGCACACTCCCACTCCCTTTGCTCAAACCTTCCTTATCGTTTCAGCGCCCTCACCATCACCACCTTAGCGTGGTCTCATCGCAAGACAGCTTGTCTCATGGTCAACACATGTCACCGTGCGCCACTCTTCTACTGAAGTTGTCAATTCCAGTAAACCCCAAACAACAACAATCGTGAGCACTTGAGCCACGCACCTCATCTTGATCCTTGCACCGCACTCCCTCACGTGCAGTGACCGCCCATTGTACAGCAGCAGCACACGTGCTGGTGCACCCTCCACCGCACCACCAACAGCATCAGCAGCATCAGATGGCGGCTGTGGCCTGAAGCCATTGGGGTACACCCGAGCACTCCCTCCCCTCAAGCTGTACCGCCTGCCCCCTCCCCACCCACTCCCTCTGCTGCTGCCATTTCCCCCAGTGCCACCAGCACCAGCAGCAGGCGCGCACACAGCCTGCAGCCAGAAGGGGTCGAAGTGAGCACACGCGATGGCCCAAGGGGCGCCCTCCTTGGTGTGCTGCTCCTGCTGCTGCTGCCACCACCCCGGACTCACCACGCACTCGCCCACACCTGCCTGCTGTGCTGTTCGGGTTGCTGCCTGCTGGACCTCGCTTCCCCCCTCGCCCTGTGCCTCGCCGCCCTCTCTGCCCTCTCCCTTGCCAAAAAGAATGCTCTCTGAGTGCTTCTCTTTCTCGTAGGATGTTTCTTCCTCGTCATCACATTCCTCCCATTCCTCCCACTCCGCCTCTCCCTCCTCCTCTTCATTCTCCTCTACCTCCTCTTTCTCCACCTCTTCCTCCCCCACCACCTCCCCATCCTCAAGTTCCCCCTCAGCATCTCCCTCCCTCAGCTTGGCATGGCTGGCACCAGCAGCCACATTCTGACACGTGTCAGGGGATTCAAGCTTCAAGGACTCTAACGCCTGACTCAGCAAAGCTGACGTGGCAGAGACCACCACAGCTGATGATGCAGCAGCGCTAACAGCAGGAGCAGGAGGACTGGGTGAGGACACACCTGCTGCTACTGGTGCTGCTGGTGCTGCTGCTGCTGTTGCTGCTGCTGTTGCTTCTCCTGCTGGGGATGAGACTGCCGGTGAGGCTTTCTTTGCTGCTGCTCTTGCCGCTGCTGGTTTCTGTGTTTCTGGTGTTGCTGCTGCCACTGCATTGGCTGCGGAAGAAGCTGCTGCCTGCACAGCTGCCGCTGCAGCAGCGGTGGTGGTGTGTCGTGGGGGTGTCTTGCTGCGAGGAGGGGTGGAGGGCGCCTGGAAGAGAGCAGGGTGACACATCTCCTGCATGCACAGGGCGGATGAAAGGGGAGGGGCGGATGGATGGGGGAGAGCAGGATGGAGAAAGTAAAGGAAGCAGATGAGATGCAGGGGAAAGAGTATGCAAGAGATACTCTGATGCAAAATATACTTGATGCAAGAGAGACCCATGTTATTTTCACAACATTCCTCCATGATTTTCCAACAATTTCGCCTTCGCATTTTCAAATCTCCAAATGAACTTCACGTCTTTCACAGGCCCCATAAAGAAGGTCCTACCGAGAATTGAACTCGGCCTTTCAGATTCAGAGTCTGACGTCATAACCACTAGACCATAGGACCACGACAATCTAATACATGTTTAAACTAACGACCACAACCGACTGTTGAGTGCAGAGGTGCATGGAGATGAGTGCATTTAAGCAGGCAGCAAGTGTGCATGCGAACATGGGATGGGCCATGGCACAGCAAGGGCAGCTCACCAGCATAAGTATGGCGGAGCACTGCTTGAAGACATCAATGTTCATCCGCACATCCTCCATCGCCCTGCCATGCCATTCAGTTGACATAGGCAATGCAAGCCCAAAGAAGAGAGACACAAGAAACAGTGCAATGAGCCAAGTCAATGTCATCAGCAGCACGAGCCCAAACAAATATAGACACAAACTGACAGCAGCAGCATGGAGCAGCACCTTCGGGTCAGCTCATGCTATTTGAGTCTCTCACTCACAACTCACAATTCTAGAGGTGAGACCTGCCTCCTAACTCCACACAACAAACCTGGAATACCTGACCTTCACTGGCCTGGTTCAATTCATCTCATCTCGTGGCTCAGCTTGAGTCAACTCATCTCATGGCTGACTCAAATCGACCCAAAACCCACCTGTGCACTTGCATGCCCACCTGTGCACTTGCATGCCTAGGCCGCAGTAGGCTCCCAGCGACGCCATCTGTTGGGGCAGAGGCGGAGGGAAGGGAACGAACAGCCAGCGGGAAAGACGAGGAGTGCAGCAGAAGAATGATGAAAACCATCAGCAGAAGAAAACATGATCAGAGGAGGATGATGGGAAAACGACTGGAGCAGGGCGACGAGAGTCTGATTGCAGCTACTCCAACAGGCCAACGTGCTCCCTACCAACCAACCCCCAACCTCCACACACACACACACACACACACACACACACACACACACACACACACACACACACACACACACACACACACACACACACACACACACACACACACACACACACACACACACACACACACACACACACACACACACACACACACACACACACACCACACACACACACACACACACACACACACACACACACACACACACACACACACACACACACACACACACACACACACACACACACACACACACACACACACACACACACACACACACACACACACACACACACACACACACCACACACACACACACACACACACACACACCACACACACACACACACACACACACACACACACACACACACACACACACACACACACACACACACACATTCAAGCAGTGATCCGCTTGCCGAGCTCCCTCCTCAGCAGGTCATGAGTGTCCGCCACGCCCAACAGCTAACACTATCAGGTCCACGCAAAAGCATGATGCTCGCCTGGCCTGCATCCACCACCGTCACCACCCCACCCTCACCTTCATCCTGTTACCACATCCCATCCGCACGGCACAGCAGCGCCCCTCACCTTCATGTCGCCTGCTCTGGTGCCGAACTCCCGCCTGAGCAGGTCGTATGTGTCCACTACGCCAGCCGGCTCGGGTGGCACTCGCCCCAAGCTGCCAAAGGCCTCTCGGATGCGCGCGTTGTCAAACCGGATAATGTTGTGCCCCGCCCACACCTTGCCTGGTGGGCCGCCCAAACGAGCACGGAGAGGAGAGACACGGAGCACGACGGTAACGGGATCTCAATTTGATTAAATAAGGGATGACGCGAGGCGACGCGACCTTGAGCATCTCAAATTTGTTTACCCCCCTACTATGTACTTATAGGTTCTGCTATATTGTAGACATAGAGTCATAGAGTAAATTGAATGTAGCAGAACGTACATAGTATGGGGGGCAACAATTTTGGGATGAGATGCCTAATCATGTGGCTCATGCCTTAGAAAAATAGCAAGAGGGCGGTGGGGAGGGGAGCGGGAATGAGAGACAGATGAAAGTGACTGCGAGAGCAAACCAGGGTAGAAAAGCGATGTAAGAGGTGACGTCACCAAGGCGTACCGTCCATGAGCTCATAAATCCGATCCGCCACTTCGCCGAAGCTCGGCGCGTTGCGCACCGTGTCGCTCGTGATTCCGTTAATCTCCACCGTCCGTCGCGAAATCCGAACCCCTTCTGGCGGCCGCAGGTACGTGGAATAGCTCGAAGTTTCGTAAAAACCCTCGATTTCGAGCTCGACGGCCGCGAATTCGAGCATCGCGTGCTTCTCGCCTCTGGCGGTCGGCACGGTCGTCTCGACGTCGTAAAACACTATTGCACGCCGCCTCGCGTTCGAGCTCGCGCCCGCACAGGGGGGAGAGCTGGAGAGAGATGGCGCCATGTCCGCAGGGAGAATGAGTCACGGGGCAGGCAACGACGGAGCGTGGTGTAAAAGAGAAGACAAGGAGGACGCGAGGAGTCGACGAGTGTAAGTATCGAAGAGTTCTAATTGTAGACTGACTGGAACGAGGGGATGGGAAGCAGAGGCGTGATGCTGGGAGGCGAGGGCGTGGACGCGCATGGCTGCGAGAAACACGGCCAGGACTTGGACTAAAATTGGAGGGAAAAGATGCTAACGCGAATTTGGCGGGGAGCGGGTGATGGGTGAGAAAGCGACTTCAGGCTCACGCGAGCCTCGGGTGTGGCTCGGTGTGGCTTAGACAGCAACACAGCCGAAGCACACCCAAACCAATCAGATGGACTCCGAACCAAATTCTTCACGGCTTGGCGGGGAAGCACCAAGGCAGCACCAAGGTTCCGAGCGTTTTGGCGGTTTTGTGAAGCAGCACAGCGCACCTCTGAAACCAGCAGCACCGCGCTGAATATTCTATTAACGTCTTGGCTACTCACGGCCGCAGCTTGGCGACTTCAGCATGGTTTTTGCAAGGACGCCGTACCTGTTTCCATTTTGCCAGGATCGATCGTAGGAGGGGATCGATGTGCCGCTTAGGACGCGGCACCTGTTTTGACTTTGCCAGGATCGATCGTGGGAGGGGATCGATGTGCCGCTTGTACAGTGTATTGACGATGTCGTCAATGACTGGTATCTGTTTTTCGCATAAAGTCGAGAATGTACAGTAAACTGGTCACCAAAATGGTGGCACCCGCAGCCCGCACGTTCGATGTGCCATGGTGCACACATCGATCTTGCGTTTGGGTTGGCGGGAGGGCACATCGCGCCACAGGTGACAGCCGCGATCGATCGGCGTCGCCCACGGTCGCAGGCAAACAATGATTGGATAACGACAAGCTGTGCTTTGCTCTGAATGGTTAACGACTAAGTTACTGGTGTATTTTGCTGCAGAACCTACCTGCCCGATCTTGCAATTTCGATCCTGTCACCCATGGCTCGACGTGTCTATCACACTACAAATTTGCAGTGTGTGCACATCGATGTGCCGATCGATGTGAGAGAATCGGTGTACCGGCTTCGATCTCCCTCGATCCTGGAAAAGACAAAACATGTGCCGCGTCCTTATACAGTGCATTGGCGACATCGTCAATGCATGGTATCCGTTTTTCGCATGACTTCGAAAATATACAGTACACGGGTACCCAAATTGGTGGCACCTGCAGCTCGCACGTTCGATGTGCCGCGGTGCACACATCGATCGTGCTTTTGGTTTGGCGGTAGAGCACATCGAGCCACAGGTGACAGCCGCGATCGATCGGCGTCGCCCACGGTCGCAGGCCGAAAATTCTCGAGTCGTTGCGAATGAAATTGCTGGGCGACCAACCACGCTCTTCCCTGACTGGCTGCGCGTTGCAGTGTGTTGGTGTATTCAGCCTGCCCGACCCTGCAATTTCGAACCTGGCACATATAGCTCGATGTGTCTACCCCACTGCAAATTTCCAGTGTAGGCACATCGGTTTGCCGATCGATGTGTCAGGATCGATGTGAGGCCCCGATCCTGGGAAAGTGAAAACAGGTCCGCGTCCTAAGAAATTACAAATTCCTCACTGTACACATCCCTCAGCGGGAATGTCCCGAACATCTCGCGTCAGTTGGGTTCGGCCCGAACCATTTCCGAGTCGCCCCCGCACCAGTCGGCACATTTCCAGACATCGATTGCCCCGAGGTCCTCGCCTAGCTAGGGATCCCGTCACTTCCATTGTATCGACAGTCTTCCACAATCATATTCTCCTTATTAACGTATTCTGCGCACTCTGTTAGTTAAACGCAGAACAGATTGGGTCCCAACATCTTCTGTGTAACAACAAATAAACTATTTTCTTGTTTAGGGTGTTACATTTTGTATCTTGAGCTGCAAAGCAACATTGTATCAAATTATTAGTACGGTACTCGAGGAGAAGCGGGCCCAGTGATTATACAACAGTGGCAATAAATATCCCTCTTGTCCAAGGGATTACCTTCACCAGCAAACCACATGGATTCAGGACCATTTGAATTGAAGACTTGGTAAGAACAAACAATACAGAGTCATTCCAACTCTGATTTTGAGAAGCAACTCCTCTCCCAACCCAAACCCTACACATGCTCCTAAATCCTGGCGCCAATGACGACTTCATATCCTCCACTCCTTGTTCTCCTTTCCCAGGCGACTTCAGGTGCGCGGGGAAGGGAGAGGGGATCGAATGATGGTGGTGAGATGGAGGATTGGGGTGAGCTGCAGTGAGAAGGAGACGGGAGAGGATACAACAAACGGTACATGTGCATACTCGGGGCAATCAGCAAAGGAGTGCAGTCGCAACTAGCAGACTTTGCTGACCCCAGCGCACTCCATCAGCTGCACGCTTGCCGCTCTCATGGTCACTCACCACCACTGCTCGAATCTGACCCAGCAGCTTCGCTCCCAAACCAGCCACCTCCCCACACGCAATCGAAGCAAGCAAGTAATCCGTGACCAAAGCTACACCGTACCTAGCATAGTGGCACCCGAGCCTAGGTCGGTGCCATAGTCGGCAAAGAAAGCACCCTCCAATGGGCCGAACTGCAGGTGGCGTGGAGGGAAGGGTGAAAGTGGGTGGGTGATGGGAGGCACGGCGTGACGGAGAACAATGGCGCGATGGTGATGAGTTGCAAGTGCAGCCCACAATAACTGGTTGGAAGACGACAGAGCTACTCCAGGTGAAACACCTTAGAAACACGTGGGTGGGAGCTGTTAGTGGGATAGAAACACGTATTTGGTCTCTTAACGTTCATGTGTATGGAGTCTGTGGGCTCAAGAGACAAGCAACATTGGGGAAGGAGATAAGAGGTAGGAGGGGAAAGAGGAAGGAGGGTACCATGGGGAAGGAGATCTCCCCGCTGGTGACGATGTAGGATCGCCCCGACCCCACAGCCCCCTCGTCGTATCCGCGCACACTGTTGGTGCCGCCAATGGGGAACGCCTCGTGCGGTGCTAGGTCACCCACCACTGTGCCGCCTGAGAAGCTGTGAGGGGGGGTGAGGGTAGAGGGTGAGGGTGAGGGTGAGGGTGAGGGTGAGGGTGAGGGTGAGGGTGAGGGTGAGGGTGAGGGTGAGGGTGAGGGTGAGGGTGAGGGTGAGGGTGAGGGTGAGGGTGAGGGTGAGGGTGAGGGTGAGGGTGAGGGTGAGGGTGGGGGTGGGGGTGAGGGTGAGGGTGAGGGTGAGGGTGAGGGTGAGGGTGAGGGTGAGGGTGAGGGTGGGGATGAGGGTGAGGGCGAGGGTGAGGGCGAGGGTGAGGGCGAGGGTGAGGGCGAGAGGAGGGTGGGGGTGGGTGTGAGGGTGAGGGTGAGGGTGAGGGTGAGGGTGAGGGTTGTTAGTGTTAGCCATCAATCTCACACTTTGTACTTTATATATTTATATCCTAGAGTAGTGTAGTTTGCACATTGTGTTTGGTTGGGTGTACACCTACATCCCAACCAAACCCAAATGTAATCTCCAAGCAATCTCCAACCCACCAATTGGAGATTGCCATGGGATTACCCCCAATCCCTAGGGATTGCCCCCGATTTCCTTCCCCATCCATTCCTTGCCCTTCTTGGATGTACTTAAAGAGCTTCAAGCTCACTACTAATAAATCAGTTCTAAGCCTAAGTTCTGACAAGGGTGAGGGTGAGGGTGAGGGTGAGGGTGAGGGTAGAGGTTTGAGATTCGAAAGTCGATGGGAAGGGCCTTGTGTGGCGCGAGGTCGCCCACCATCGTGGCACAGGAGAAGCTGGTGGAGGAAGGGCGGGCTGCATGGGAGGAGCGCAGAAGGTGTGGGGACACTGGAGAGGTGGATGGCGAGAGGAGAGAAGGAGTAGTATGAGAGGAAAGCGGCAAGAGCAGTGAGAGAGGAAAATTGCAGTGATGCCAGTGCATGCACAAGCATTCACCCATCTGCCGATGAGCAGGCACACACTTTTCCAACACCACCCCGCCACCTGCAAACGCCCCACCCAAAGCCCCACCTGCCGATGAGGCGCGCAGATGCGGAAGCCACTGGCTTTAAAGTAAACCCAAAAGCCACCCAGCGACCCACCTGCCACTCCCCAACCTGCCACCTGCTGAAGTAAATCCAACCTGCTATTGCCCCACCTGCCACCCAACGACCCACCTGCCACCCAATTCCCCACCTGCCACCTAATTCCCCACCTGCCACCCAATTCCCCACCTGCCACCCAATTCCCCACCTGCCACCCAATTCCCCACCTGCCGATGAGGCGAGCGTGTCCGATGCGGAAGCCATTGCGTGCGCGGGCGTTGATGCGGTTGAAGAAGAGCCAGTCGGGCGCGATGGGGATGGCCTGCTCCGTGCTCAGCACGAGCTGGAAGGAGGGGGGGAAGGGGGGGGGGGGGGTAAAAGGTGGTTGCAGGAAAGCAGGGCGCGATGGGGATGGCCTGCTCTGTGCTCAGCACGAGCTGGGGAATGGGGGAGGTGAGGGAAAGGCAAACAACAGGAGTTTTGGAAGGAGGGCAGAGGGGTTTGGGAGGAAAGGGATGTAGGGCGATGAGATGGCGTGCTCCGTGCTCAGCAGCACGAGCTGGGGAAGGGGAAAAAGGGGGGAGGGGGACAGGGGGGTAGGGGGAGACTGGGAATAGGCTACTGGGCGATGGGCACGGCCTGCTCCGTGCTCAGCACGAGCTGCGAGGGGGTGAGAAGCGATAAGAGGGAGGGAAGGGGAGAATGGGTGCGGGCAAGCAGGCGATGGGGATGGCCTGCTCTGTGCTCAGCACGAGCTGAAAATGGGGACGGGGGGAAGCACGGCACAGCAGTTTGGGGAGCTGTGAAGGGTGAGAGAGGGTGCAGGCCGGTGGGCAATGGGGATGGGTCAACGGCTCAGCAGCAGCTGCCACACCATTGGGGGGAGAAGAGAGATGCAGGGAGGGCCTTGAGGGAATCGGGAAGAATTGGCGGGGAGAGAGATTTTGGGAAAGCATGGATGGGGAGAGGGGTGGGGGGTCGAGCAGGGACAGGGAGGCAGAAGGTGAGACTGCCTCAGCAACTACAGGCCAACAAAGCTATGCCCCCCAACTGTCCCTTCAGGCATACAGGCGTACCTGTGAGGAGGCGTACCTGAGAGGAGGCGTACCTGTGAGGAGGCGTTATCTCCCGAGTCGGTGTAGACGGTCTCCAGCTTGGCTATCAGCATGTCGTCTGATGCCCGACCACTGGAGAGGGCGGTGGGGGGAACAGATGCGCGTTATGAGGAAAAGCAACTGGGATGGCTAAGCACGAATGAGTGGGCGAGCATGAGTAGCATTCTGAATCAAATTCAAAGTAGGAAGCGCCTCAGGGTAAAGCCACCCTAAGCTACGAAAGCATGACGAGGTGTAAAGACGAATGGACGTATGAAACATGTGAAGTAGCAGTGCACGTTGTAACGCAAAGCACGTGATAGCAATAGAGTCATCTGAAGAAGAGCAGCCCCTGAGGAATCACCTGAAGGTGAGCGGGCTGCCATAGGCATCAACGAGCTTGGGGTGGCCGTGGTCATCCCTTGCCCCCGCCCTCTGTGGTGGTGGAGGATGGACACATGGTGCATGGCGTGCGGACACACACAGGACAGGTGAGGGGAGGAACGGGTGGGGTATTCGGGGATGGGTGAGTGGGGTTGGAAAATGTTAGCGAGAGGCGAGAAGGAAAGGGTGGCAAGGAAGAGGTGGGGAAGAAGAGAAAGTGGGGGAAGCGCAACAAGAGGAGTTGGAGTTGGATGAACCAAATGGGTTCTTAAGAGGCTGAATCACCAATCCAGCGGAGCATCTCAATTCATGCATACACCTGCAGGTTGAGCCCGGCTGTAGCACGCACCTGCAGGTTGAGCCCGGCTGTAGCACGCACCTGCAGGTTGAGCCCGGCTGTAGCACGCACCTGCAGGTTGAGCCCGGCTGTAGCACGCACCTGCAGGTTGAGCCCGGCTGTAGCACGCACCTGCAGGTTGAGCCCGGCTGTAGCACGCACCTGCAGGTTGAGCCCGGCTGTAGCACGCACCTGCAGGTTGAGCCCGGCTGTAGCACGCACCTGCAGGTTGAACCCGGCTGTAGCACGCACCTGCAGGTTGAGCCCGGCTGTAGCACGCACCTGCAGGTTGAGCCCGGCTGTAGCGGTCCAGCGGGGGCGGATGGGGCGGCTGTAGTCCACTGACGCCACCACCCGCGCGATCGTCACCCCCCCTGCCCACGGGCCACCTGCGCTGCCGTCCCGCCTCACCCCGTGCACCATCATGTCTGGCGTGCGCGAGTTCTGCCCACGGGGGATACCACACGTGCCGGGTTTGCAAGGGTATGTATGGATTACAAGCACACAACCAGCCTCTAGTGTTGTTTTGAGGAGCATCAAATTACCCCCCGCACTGCCGTCCCGCCTCACCCCGTGCACCATCATGTCGGGTGTGCGCGAGTTCTGCAGTAAGGCACACAGGGTTTACAAAGGTTTACACAGGTTTACGAGGGAGCACATGGGCTCACTAGCACCCCGTGCACCATCGTACTGGGCGTGCGTGACTTGTGCCCATGGGCCCGTGACATGCGATTGTCATCCCAATCCAAGGGTCACTGCACGCGGGCGGCACAAAAGACGGAGTCCAGCTGGCCCCTCTACACATGAACAACCCGATGCCACCCTCCCCTACACGTCAATGCCGCAACACACTCACTTGTATGTTGATGGCACGCGACGTGCGTTTGTCATCGCCTTCGATCCACGGGTCACTGTACGATGCACGGAAGATGGAGTTCAGCGGGATGGCCGCAAAATCAATCAGCTACCACCCTCACCTACATGTTAATGCCTGCACTGACCACCTGGAACATGGTGTGGCACACCAACAAACCACACCCCACCCCACCCTCACCTGGATGTTGATGGCCCGCGAGGTGCGTTTGTCATCGCCCTCGATCCACGGGTCGCTGTAGGAGGCGCGGAAGATGGAGTCCAGCTGGCCTCTCTGATGGCTGGACTGACATGCATACTGATACCCGCACCACCTGTATGTTCATGAGTGCACTCACCTGGATGTTGATGGCCCGGGAAGTGCGTTTATCATCCCCCTCGATCCACGGGTCACTGTAGGAGGCACGGAAGATCGAGTCCAGCTGGCCTCTCTGCACTATCAGCAGCCACCCTCCCTATACGTCAAATGCCGCAACACACTCACCTGGATGTTGATGGCACGGGAGGTGCGTTTATCGTCCCCCTCGATCCATGGATCACTGTAGGAGGCGCGGAAGATGGAGTCCAGCTGGCCCCTCTCCACCGCCACGTTCAGCTTCTGGTTGCGCCCGCGCACATTGCGGTGCGAGTAGGTGAAGCTGGGGGTGGGGGGGGGGCGGGTGGGGGGAGTGTTAAAGGGGGTTGACGGACGGGGGACAGGGGGTTAAAAGGGGGGCATGCGAGTCTAGCTGGCCCCGCTCCACCGCCACGTCGAGCTTCTGGGTGCGCCCCCTCACGTTGCGGTGCGAGTAGGTGAACCTAGAAAGTGGAAGGTGGGTGGGATGGGGGTGGTAAGTATAGTATAGTCCATCACATGACTCGAGTGTCTTGCCGCTGCATGCCTGGCGAGGAGCACACACACGCATATGGATGGTTCTATAAGCCTGCATGCATATATCCCAGTGTGTGTGTGCCAGACAGCTTACCTTGACGACACACAAAAGCACTTCAACACATACCCACTCACAGCATCACGACATGTTGCCACTGTGCAATCATCCCACCATCCCATCCTCCCATCATGCCACCATCCGACCATCTCAACGTGCGTGCCATCATGATCATCCCTCCATGCCATCATCCCTCCATGCCATCATCCCTCCATGCCATCATCCCTCCATGCCATCATCCCTCCATGCCATCATCCCTCCATGCCGTCACCATCACGCCATACCTGCCAATGAGGCCGGAGAGAGCTCCTCCGGAAAGGCTGCAGCGAGCACGGGCAGAGGAGAGGAGAGGAGAGGAGAGGAGAGGAGAGGAGAGGAGAGGAGAGGAGAGGAGAGGAGAGGAGAGGAGAGGAGAGGAGAGGAGAGGAGAGGAGAGGAGAGGAATGCATGCAGGCTGTGTGGGAAGAATGAACGGGCGCAGTGCGATTATGAGACAAGCTACACGGACGTGGAACGGGCGTGCGAGATGCGAAGAATGGCCATTTCAAGGAGCAAGACCAGTGTTACAGAGAACCGTGAGTTTTGAGGCGCCTCAAAGGCACTGCCCACTGCCCACCACTCCCCACCCACTGAGCTCCCCCCACCGTTGCCCTCCCCTAACCCTCTCAATCCCCAGTTCCTCCCCTCTTCCACCCCACCTGCCAGTTGCTCTCATTCCCCCCATTCCCACCTGCTGCCGGACAGCCCACCGCCAGCAGAGAAGCCGCCTGGCGGGCGCTCAACGACGTTCATGGTGAGGTCCACCATGCCCGTGTCTGTGGGTGGGTGGGGAGAGAGGAGGAGAGGGCCACAGGGAGGGAAAGGTGGAATGATGTGGCGTGGTGTGGCTTTGGGCGCTCAACGACGTTCATGGTGAGGTCCACCATGCCCGTGTCTGTGGGTGGGTGGGGAGAGAGGAGGAGAGGGCCACAGGGAGGGAAAGGTGGAATGATGTGGCGTGGTGTGGCTTTGGGCGCTCAACGACGTTCATGGTAAGGTCCACCATGCCCGTGTCTGTGGGTGGATGGGGAGAGAGGAGGAGAGGGCCACAGGGAGGGAAAGGTGGAATGATGTGGCGTGGTGTGGCTTTGGGCGCTCAACGACGTTCATGGTGAGGTCTACCATGCCCGTGTGTCTGATTGGGGGGGAAGAGAAGGGGGCGAAAGACAGGACCAGTTGCATGGTGTGTGTGTGAGGGGGGAAGAGGGGTGGGGGAAAGTGAAGGCGTTTGGGGTGGTGTGGTGTGCATGGAAACAGGAGGGACGGTAGGGCCTTGAGCGCTCAACTAAATTCATGGTGAAATCCACCATGCGCGTGTCTGGAGGGGGTTTGGAAGGGGCGGGAGACAAGGATGAGTTGCTTCTTAGACAGCTCAACAAAAATTATGGTGAGACCACCGTGCCTGTGTCTGGATGGGGGGGTTGGGGGGGAAAGGGGTTTACTGGAAAGAGGGACACACGGTGACAATGGTGTGAGCCTTGGAGCAACAATGGTGAGATCCACCATGCCCGTGCCTATGGATGGGGAAAGAGGTGGAGGGGGGGCAATGGGGGCAGACAGTGGAACGGTGGGGCCTTGTCTGACAGGGTTGGGGTTGGTTCAAGAGGGCATGCTGCCAGCTGTGGCATAACAGACATGGTGTGCCCTGGGGATACCTGCACTGCACCATCACATGGACATGCACTGCACCATCACATTGAATGCATCACCCAGCCGCTATCGACAGCCGGTCCTGCCCTTTGCTACCCGCAACCAATGAACGCTCACGTGCCAACAAGCAACATGCCTTCCAGCACCGCTTTCCACCTTGATTCACCGCATGTACCTCGCTGCACATATGCCCCACTGTGGAGCGCCCATGCGCCCTCCGTACCTCCAGGGGCCACCGCCGCCACTGCTTCCACCGCCGCCAGAGTGTCCACGCTGCCCCGGTCGACCTCCTTGCTTCGCCAGGGCGACGTAGTTCACCTGCGCCAAGAGTTCTTGGAAACGCTCGGCCTCCTGCATCGCCTCGTCCTGCAGGATGTACGAGGTCAACGTATCCTCGTTGAGCGTCGCCCGCGTGCTCGGCGCCATCGACAGCCGCTTCAGTAGGTTGTAGCTGCTCGGGAGTCCCTGCATGACGTGGGTGATGTACGACGCCGTCGAGTACTCTGCACCGGCCATCCTGATGGTGGCGAGAATTCGCCGGGCCCGGTTGCAGTAGTCGGTCGCCGTTTCCTGGTCGCCCATACGCAGGTGTGTCAGCTGCCCCTCCAGTTGGGCGATGAACAGGACGTCGGTGACCTGGTACGTCGACTCGATGAAGTGCCACGCCTGGTGGCCGGCGTCGAGGTATTCCTGGCACCACTTCAGGGCGATCTGCACGCCCGGCGAGCAGCACCGTGAGATGACCGTGAAGGTCAGCAGCTGCACAGCGCGGAACTCAGCTCGCAAGTCGGGGTCGCTCGGCATCACCACGGTACCTCGAGCAAAGCTGATCAGCCCGGCCATCTCCAGCTGGGGCTCGATAGCTTCCTTCCAGGTGAGAATGTCTTGTCGACCAACAAGCGGCGGGGTGACCAAGATCCTGTCCGGCGTAAATTTGAAGTAGCCGTAGCTCGGCGCAATCCCTCCCGCCGTCACCTGGGACGCCGATACGGCGTCAACCCGCTTTGTCGTCCTCCGACGTCGCCCTGCGAGGAGCCTGCAGCCGCCGACGACCGCATCCCTCGCGCCTGAACGCCGCCGACTTCGTCGGCGTGAATCACACCACGCTGCCTCGACGACGTGCCTCCCGCACTGCTGCCGACTTGGTCACCACCGGCGTTGACGCCCACGTCGACGCCGCCCTCAGTGTTCGCCGGTCGAGGAGAAGCAGGCCGAGAAGGGTGCTCCGTCGCCCACAAGGAACGGATGCCAGCCTCGACGACCGCCCAAGGCAGGTCGCCATACTCGTTGGCCTCGTGCTTCCTCCTCGCATTCTCCAGCCGTGCCTCCAGGGTGTCCACCACCCCCGTGTCACCTACGGCTACTACCATAGTGACTATCGCACAGCTGCCGGCCTACGAACAACTTAGGTAAGGTGCAACTAAGTCGACTAGACTGGAAGCTAAGTCGTATGCCGTCCACGCTCACCGCACCATGCGGAGATAACTTTAGCAACGGGAGCTAGACTACGGGCTAGGCACGGGTGCTCGTGTGATCTCTGCGTTCTCGGTTCCTTAGTCGTTTTCCTAGTGCACACACTGCTTGCTAGTTCACAAGGAGAATTGGCAAGAGTTTCACTAAAGAAAGTTGACAACAATGATTACAATGAAGTTGGCAAGATTAGACTACCTCAGAGCTAGCATGCTGGCAAGTCTACTGCCAGCGCAGCACGGTCGACCGCGTGCCAGCACGACTTGGTCGACCGCGCTCCAGCAGTGCAGAGTCGCGGCTTGCCAACGCTGCAGGTCGACGGCGTGCCAACAGCACAAGTCAACAGCGTGCCAGCGTTGCTCCCGCAGTACAGCATCGCACCCGCTTCGCAGGTGCTTGCAGATGATTGGCGTGCACTGCTTCGTCACCTGCACAGCGCACACACCAAGTCCACCTCGTGCTGACGACTGCATCTCATCTGCCAGGTCGACCTCGGGATACCACCCCCTTGCCAACATCGCCTGGGCGACCGTCGCGTGCCTTTGCAGAGCCTCGCCACCCAGGTAATCTGGTCGACCGGGCAACCACGTCGACCAGCTGCTCCTGTATGTGCCCGTCGACCTCCCAAGTCGACGACCACCTCCAGTCGACCTCCCCAGGTCGATCACACCTCCTGGTCGATCAGCTCCTCGTCGACCAGCACGGTTGTCAGCCGACCCCAAAGTCGGCTACCCCAGGTCGGCGTCACCAAGTCGACGCCCTCTGCAGGTCGACTTCTCAAGTCGACCACCCGAAGTTGGCGCCCTCCCGAAGTCGGCGCCCTTGCAGTGGCTCCCGTGCAGGTCGACCAACCCCGTCGACCAGCTCGCCCACTGCTACCATTCGGCTGCAGCCCTACACCCGACCACGAAGTCGGCTCCGCCCAAGCGAGGACGGGGCCAACACACAACTCCCGTTGACACCCCCCCCCCCGCAGCATGGCTCCATGCGGGATCACCACCCATTCACCCGGCCTTGGACACCTTGAGTGCGCCCGCCACCACCTTGAGTAACTCCTCGTCCGCCACCCACGCCCCATGTGATGTGCTTCATGTGTAACTGCTCCCCGCCCCCCAACCACCCATTCCCCCACATACCCGGAAAATGAGCCGCACGCCATCGCGGGTGTCCTCTGCAGTCGGTAGGCAGCTAGCGAAGTACCCCGTGTCAATGATCCGGTGCACGTCCTCCTGCACCTCGCGCGTGGTGAGCGCGGCGTTGGCCTTGGACACCTTGAGCGCGCCTGCCACCACCTTGAGCAACTCCTCGTCCTCCACCTCGCCGCCGTCCTTGTCGCGAATCACGATCTCGCTGATCAGCACCCGCTCCTCCTCGGGCTTTCCCCCGCCGCCGCCGCCGCCGCCGCTGACGGATCCGCCGGGTGTGGTTCCGCGGCTGTCTACTGTCCGCGCGGGGGGGGTGCTGCCTGGGGGGCCGCCGCCGCGGCGTCTGTGTGGCATTCCGCGGAGGTGCGGCGGGCGCCACTGCTGCGGGGAGGGCGGAGCGGAGGATTCGTCGTGCGGGGGCGGGGCGAGGGGGAGGGAGAGCGAGGCGAGGGACAGCGGCGAGCGGGCGAGTGGGGAGAGGGAGGGGGAGGGGGAGGGGGAGGCTAGGTGGTGCGCGAGGAGTAGTCGGGCGGCGTGCGCCTGAAGCCGCTCCACAATCGCGCCGCCCTTGCTCGCCACGCCTTTCATGAAACCCGCCAACATGGCCTCGCTAGGACTAATTGCTTCTATTCTTTGATCGCACATCGCGATCCTTCCGCCGGCCAGGTCTCCGCCGCCCAGCCCCGGATTGCCCGCTTCCCCTTCCAGCCCGCTCCGCACTCCACGGCGTGCATCGCGCCACGCATCGCCGAGCTTGCTCGCTACGCCGCGAAGGTGGGCAGAAACTTCCGATTGAAGTAAGCGAACTTCAAACGGCTGCTCCCCAACACTACAGGACGGAAGGTGACGTACGTCGTTCATAGTGGTTGCGGGGAAGTGAGATGGAGCGAGAAGCGCGAGCAACCTTTCAGCTGATTTCGATGTAAAACCATTTTGCGTTCTAAGACTTCCTGTTTGTGCGGGCCGCTGAGGGCGTGGTGCATCATATGCAAGCGGGGTCCAAGTGTTGGACCGTGAAGCAGGTTACCCTACGAGTGTATGATGTGTGCGAAGGCCTCTCTTTTTAAATGACCGTACCAGGTAACAAAAAGGTGTTGAACTCGGGCTCAGTCGCGTGCCATTTGCTCGAACGAGCGTGTTCAATTAGTTACGAAGGGTACCATGCGGCTGTGCCAAGTAAGGCACGCGAAAATAATGCGCAACCAAGGACTTGCGCGAAACTCCCGACCTTAGGGCAGCAGACCCGCCTTTGCGAAAATGGGTACTGAACATCAGTATTGGGGCATCGTCAAGTTCGTTAACGTAACGAGATACGAAACAGGTTTCTCAAATCTTGGACCTCGGTTTGCAGCTTTCCAGTTCAGCCTCTTGAACCTCGTCGAGCCTGCAAAACGACCTCATGACAGGTTGACCCCGTTTTGCACATAACACGCCACGCCCTGAATCGCGTCGCATCGTAACACAATCAGTTCCACACGACTGTTCCCGTCAACAGTCGTGAACACCATTCCCGTTAAAGAACCTGAATCCTGATCAATTTACTAGCAACCTTTCACTCTACAAAAATAAGAAAGACCTTGTAGCAGCATTCATGAAGGTATGCTGTAGCCAGGCCCTAATTTATCAGTGTAAAACATCCTGGTACCCAGCCCCCAAATTTCAAGGGTATTTTACCCTTTTTGCCCTGATGGTAGGCCACTTTTTGGCAGTTACCCTTTTGAAATCAGGCTATGGAACTTTTTACCCTAGTGAAATCAGGATACGATAAAAAGTACTCTTGTAGGTTTTTTAGTTACACTGACTGTATCAGAGTAGGGGCTCAACTACCCTTTTACCGGAACTCTGTTTTGCAGAGGATTCAGCCACAGTACGCGCCAAGACAAATGCACCACGGTCCCACTGGACCATTTGTTCGATACACCCACTGGCGCGCCAACGTAGAAGCAGTGCGGATGCACGCGCACACCTACGATTGGTCCGTTGAGCAACATCAAAGCCAACGCACCCGGTTTCCGTGCGCTCCCGAAGCACCGCTCACTGCCAACATTGCCAAATTGCGCGCCAGGTGGGTTGCGTGCTGTCGTTTGCACCACCTGGCAGTCATTGTGGTCTTGCAGCCTCTGCCATGCAGTTTCCGCGGTGCGCGGGAACCGTGCTGCCTGAGGCCCCTTGGGCTTTGTGATTCCCAAGGGGTCTCTCAGAAAACTTTAGTTAGTAACTGTTGGTGTAGTAAATATTTGTGCGTAGGAAATAGTGTATGGGATATGCGCCAGGTGGGTTGCGTGCTGTCGTTTGCACCACCTGGCAGTCATTGTGGTCTTGCAGCCTCTGCCATGCAGTTTCCGCGGTGCGCGGGAACCGTGCTGCATGAGGCCCCTTGGGCTTTGTGATTCCCAAGGGGTCTCTCAGAAAACTTTAGTTAGTAACTGTTGGTGTAGTAAATATTTGTGCGTAGGAAATAGTGTATGGGATATATTACCCTGCTGACATCAGTGTACCCGAATTTTTAGGCTGCTACAATCAGTGTACCCAAAAAATTACCCTACCAGTCAGGGTACGGGGGGCCTGCCACCCTGATTTGGAAGAGTGAGCTAAAACCTATTTTGGGCCCTGCTGGTACCCTGGTTTTCAGGCAGCTTAGGGTTGTGCTCTGTTTTTTTCCGGATCTTGATTTTCTATGCCCTGTGAAACCACTATATGCACTCTAAGCACCCTAAAATTTCATTATCATCGTTATTCTTTTCCCTGAAACTTCATAACATTTGTTAAGTAGTACTCTAGCGAGAATATCCACGTATGCATAAGGGTACATTCCTGTGGAGACACTTGTGTCTCAATCCCCTTCTTCCCGAGCCGCATCTAAACATTTTTGCAATCTCGCGTCACAAAGATTGAATGTATCACGAAACTGTGCGACCAGGCGAAATTTACAGCTGCGCGCATTTGATTGGATTTCGAACATGACCGTACACCTGTTTCTTCAACCAACTGGTTCGGGTGGGGTCTTGACGAGCGGATTTTTTTCCCGCGTGAAATTTTCATTGTGGGGTGTCCAGGTGCATTGACATTTTGAACCGCGTACGACTCGTTGACAGTGACAGGTCATTATGCAACTCGTCCACGACGTCAGCGCCTTTCACGCTGACCAATGAAAAATACAGTAACGGTCGCACAAGGGCGACGCGCGTTTGTGAAATTGTACGTTTTGTGCTGTTTTTACGCATCACAAAAGGATTGAGACACAAGTGTCTCCACAGGAATGTACCCTAATTTCCTAGAAGTGGGGGGTGTATAGGTGGTGGACGAACGTGCCTCCCAAGGAATTGCCTTTTTTTGTTCCAATAAGAAACACTTGTCGCAGCAGTGATGTTGTCACAGTTCGCATTTCTATATCACACAACGTGTATGTACTTGAAGCTTTAGGGAGGAAAGAGAGTGCGGTACGAACATTGATACATAGGGAATCAACCCAGGCCATGCTCTGGAATTTCATTGCCCACGTAAAAAGCTGCCTTTAATTTCATGATCCACGTAAAAGCAGCCTTTTTTTTCAAGTTCGCAGGATTTGCCCTCAGGCATTAGGGTCCCCTAAAACAAATATGAGGAACCGTATTCTCCCGGATAAAACACCCTATGGTGTTACTAAAAATACAGGGAAAGATAGGGAGGGTCTTCTCATAGGAAAAAGCTAGTAATATCCGAGTGGTTTTATATGGCATATTTTAGTGTAAGAGTATTTTTTAATTAGACAATTTGGGTGTTTCAATAGTCGTTTTAATAGCACAGGTTTGAGGCGAGAATGTGAGTTTTGGCGAGAATGTAAGTTTCACCTCTCTGGCCACTTGTAGTGGAAGATTCGCGAGCGTGGCGACAGCGAGACTGTGGGAGGGGGTGCGGAGAATCACTCTACAATGGTAGTGAGTCAGACTACGGGGGTTGGTACGAACTGCTAGGAATGATCGTAGCTTTGCTTAGTTCCTTAGTGCTTGCACATTCACAGGAGAAATCGGCAATGACAGACTGACTACATCAAGCACCTAGCAACTCTGCAGCTAAACTGGTCGACCGCTAGCACCGCATGCTCGACCGCGCGCCAGCGTTGCGTAGAGGAGCCGTGCCAGCACTGCAGAAGAGCGACCTGCCAGCAGAGCAGGTCGACGGCGCGCCAACGCTGCAGCAAGGCGGCTGTCCAGCGTTGCCCCGTAGAAGACAGCAGTGCGCACGCTCGCAGGTGTGCGCAGACGATTGGCTTGACTTGCATTGTTGTGCATCCGTCGGCTGTTGTCTGCGCCTGACGAGCCACATCGACTTTGAAATACCAGCCCAAAGTCGCCTTCCTCATCGAGACCTCGACGACGTTCGTGTGCCTCCGCAGAACTCGCCGAGCATGTTACGTGGTCGACCTGGACACCACAAGGTGCTCCGGTCGACCACCAGGACCCCCGGTCGACGACCAAGTGCCTCTAGTCGACCACTAGATGCCACTGGTCGACCATCAAGTGCCCCTGGTCGACAACAGCTCCTGTCGGGCTGCCCCCTGGTCGACGGACCCCTTCCGTCGACCAGAACTCTCAGCCGATGTCGGCGGGCTCCACTCGTCGACCGTTGCTCACATGTCAGGTCGTCGGACTTCTCCGTCGACCTCCCCGTCGAACTGGCACTCCTAGTCGACGGCCCAGCCGTCGCCCAGCCCAGTCAGTTGCGCTCGTCGAGCACCCCTGGTAGACAAAAACCCCACAGTGACACCCTGCAGCCCGAACCCGTCGAGCAACTCCTTCACTGCGAATGGTCGGCTACTTTTCACGTACATCCGACCAAGTTGTTGGCGTTGCCCAAGCGAGGGCGGGGCCAACACTCCACTCCCGTTAACACTCCCCTATCGCGCTCACGCTTGGGCCTCCAGCCCACACGGCAGTACTCCACGGAGAAAACTCGTCCTCGGCGTGCACCCCACACACAGCACGCCGTCACCGCACCAGCCATGCAGAAGGACACGGCACCTACTTCTGCACATCATCGTCGCCGTCGCCGACGTCGGCCAGACGAACTAGGCTGATGGCGACAGAGCACCGGTTGACAGCCGAAAAATGCAGCGCCTTTGTCAGGAAGTCTGCCGGCTGCTCGGTGGTCGGGATGTACTTCAGCACGAACTTCCCGCGCCTCACCATGTGCTGCAGCCAGGCGTAGCATCGCTCCATGTGCTTGAGGTTGCCTGTCAGCCCCAAGCCTTGAGCAACCGTGATCGCTGACTTGTTGTCCACGCAGAGGACAGTCAGCTTCCTAGGGTCGAGCAGCCTGAACTCTGCAAGGAGGAAGCGAAGTCGGCGTCCCTCCTTGCCAGCATCCGTGACGGCGTCGTCGATGCGGTACTCGGTCGTCAGCACCCATTGGTTCTTCATGATGTTCACTCCGCGTGGGCGTTCGAACTTTTACCATGTGTCCATGCCGGTCAGACTGCGATCTCCTCTTCCATGGCGGCCTTCACTGCCGCGCCCTTCCAGCTTGCCAGCGCCTCCTTCACCGTCATCATGACGATGTCCCAGCGGTGTTCAGGGTCGGCATGCACATCGGGGTCGAGATCCGACAGGTCTTCATCCTCATCGGCGTCGTCGTACAGCAGGTCGTCGTCGACCTCGTCATACACCGTGGTGAAGGCAGCTGGTGGTAGGCAGGCGTGGAAGCTCAGCCGCTCCCGGCGGCTATCCAGCTCGACCAGAACGGCGCAGCTCCGGTGCAGATTTTTCGGCCTCCACCACGTCACTATCAATGGACTCTTCTCCTGCCGATTGCTCCCCTTCCTCGTCGACGGCCTCGTCGTCGACCAGCTGCTGTGACCCTTCGACCGGCTGCTCTCCTCTTGC